GTGTGTGTGTGTGTGTGTGTGTGTGTTTGAATAAAGTTGAAGAAATGCTGACCAACTCTTTTTGGGGGGTGAGCACAGACCCCACATCCCGATAACGCCAGGAGCTATGCCAATCTTTCACAGACTCAGTGTGTGTGTGTGAGAGAGAGAATAAAAGTTGGAAAAACGCTGAAAAAAAAAAAAAAGCATAATCTCTGTCCTATGCCTCTCTCTCTTGGTTTTCTTTATGTTCCTAATATTCTCTGCTACTAAAGATAGGCTCTATCCTTCTAAACACAGAACATGGCTTGATGCCCTAGAGACAAGGAAGGTCTAACCTAAGGAACCTGAGGAAGACTCACACTAGTGCCATCATATTCTTGTCTAGGATAATTGCACCCTCCTGGAGTTCTCAGTGTGGACAACCAGGTCCTGTATCCACCACCTTAGCAGATGGATATGCTTTGACATTGATACTGATCCCTATGTACACCAGATAATGTGTCTAAAACCTATTGCTACCAAGTTGATTTCACCTTGTAATGTCCCCTACACCAGAGTGAAACTGCCCCATTGAATTTCTACAGCTGTAAGTTTCTATGCAAGGAGGCTGTCTCCTCTTAGTCCGGTGGCACAGTTAGTGGGTTCAAATCATTGGTCTTTTAGTTAGCAGAGCTCCTAGATGATAAGTCTACAATATATGGATTTCAGTTTTTATGATACCATAGTATTTTCTAAAATGTTTGAATATAATATACAATTTAATTACTGAATCACTGACTCTTACATAGTTTGCATAAAGTTTTATACTTTTCCCCTTATTTGGTAGAATTTATTTTGCTATGATTTTATGTAAGGTGCCACAAAAGTGGTAGAGACAGGAATTCAGAAATTCTTTTTTAGCATTTCTATCAAGTAGAGTATCTTTTTCCAGGAGCAACATCTGGTCAATATATTCACAAAAAGGTTCCAAACTTCACCAGTGCCTTCAGGTAACTGAGAACCAACTATAAGGAATGATGCACTTGATGGAACATCTCTCTAATGACTTTACTACATATTTCTTACAGACCACAAGCAAACCAGTACAGATGATGTCAATGAAAGCAAAACTCCCTGTATTTCACATAGAACAGCCACAAGCCAAGGGTCTTCAACTTTACTATGAGAGTCGTGACCTCAGCCTTCTGATACTGCTGCCAGAAGATGTTGGTGGACTGGATCAGGTACGTTTCTGTCTGACTTGAAGATGGTTCCATAGTTCACCTTGCTGGGGAAAACCCAAGGACATTGTCTTCCTCACCCTAGTTGGAAGGCTAGGAACTGACATCCACTCATAATGTGTAAGCTTTATGAAGTCTTGTAAGGCTTGTATTATTACTTCTCATAAACATTACGTAATCACCCACACTTCAAGTACCAGTTGGTCACATACAATGTATAGATGCTCTCTTCTTTTTTTTTTCAGCATTTTTTTATTTTAGTGAAAGTTTACAGAGACTGGGTTTCCATTCATTTACTGTTAAACACTTTCCTCCCTGCCCACCCCTCTCCCCAGACACTCTCTTCTAAGGCACAAAATTGTATGAATTGATCATAGTAAATCTTCAGGAAGTGCAGGAGGTCCTACCTGATCAATATTTTTTGTCATTTGATGCCTAAATATACCTTTTAAATCATGACATTAATCTATCCTTAGATAAGTATTCCTAAAATACTAATTATCTCTCAAAGCTTCCAGGAGTTGGAATCAACTTATGGCCAAAGAGTTAACGAGTTGGCTTTTTGCGTTTTTCAGTATTGTTTATCAGCAATGTTCTACATCAATACCATCTTCAAGTTACTGTTTGTGTGTCAACCAGGTGATGATTATTATTATTAAGCCTGACTAAACTGTGATCAGACCATATGTATGAATCACTTTTAAATCTAACCTGAATGAATATCAGTCTCTCACAAGAGAGGTGGACCCTTTTCTTTGCACAGTGCTTGCTTTTCCTGTGTGCTAGACCTATTTGTTCCTATGACCCTAATGCTGCGAGATGCCATCAAGTTGACTGCTAACTCTTAGTGACCTTATGAATAAACAGGTCAAAACCTGACCCACCCTGCACCATCCCCATGAGCTGCATCATACTGGAGTCCACTGTTGGTTGGGTCATGGTGTTGATTCTTCTTCTTGAAGGTCTTCTCTTTGATTCATTCATTCTTTGCCAGCATGATCTTTTTCCAAGGACTGGCCCCAGCTCTTGAGTAATAGAAAGAATCATAAAGTCATCCAAGTAACACCTAGTCCATGTGCGTTTCTAACAGATCTCATTAAACCAGTATCTCTCATTCCCCTTTGGAATCACTGATTTGAATTTTCTGGTTTCATATCCGTAGCTGGAGGAGGCCATCACCTACGAGAAGCTGAGTGAATGGACCAGTGAAGACATGATGGAGCAGTACCAGGTGCAGCTGCACCTTCCCAAGTTCAAGCTGGAAGAAAGTTATGACCTCAGGTCCGTCCTGAGTGGCCTGGGGATGAGTGATGCCTTTAACCAGAGCCAAGCTGATTTCTCAGGAATGTCTTCAGAGAGGAACCTCTATCTGTCCAATGTTTTCCACAAGTCTTTTGTGGAAATAAATGAAAAAGGGACAGAGGCTGCAGCTGGCTCTGGGAGTGAGATAAGATTCAGGATTCGGGTCCCCTCTATTGAATTCAATGTGGACCACCCGTTTCTGTTTCTCATCAGGCATGACAAAACAAAATGCATCCTTTTTTATGGGAGATTCTGCTCCCCTTGAACCTGGTATCCTTCTCGGCGAACAACTTTATAGCATGAAAAAGTCCCACCAGAGGGAAAACAAAAATTATAATGAAGATTTTTATTTGGACATTTTTCAAGATTGAATATTTTTTAGAAATCTTAAAAGACTATATTCTGAAGCTATATATACAGCTAGAGAGGAAAGCAGGAGTTCCCCACTTTAACATTTTATTTGATTTTTGTTCCCCTTCATTGTTTTAACATTTCACAAATACTTTCATAAAATTAATAAATGTCTTATAGTTTTTGAGCTACCTGGTCACCAAACGATCTTTGTTGCTTAGCGTATTTTGAAAATCCTTTACTGAGGCCAGTTTTCTCATAATGTTTTGACATATGACAAAATAAGTCAAGTATGTCAAAATACCTATAGTTCAAACAATATGATGCAAATAAAATAAGATTCTTGAGAATGTTATTTACTTTTTAATAAATTACTGAAAAATAACTTTGGAAAAGGGAGATGGGGCGCTCTGAAGGAAGGTGAGGGAACAAGGAAGATGCAGAGTTCTATGAGGGATGGTGATAGAACATAAAATACAGAATTTATTTATGAAGGAGGGTGATGGGGCATGAAAGTTGGGGTATTCAATGAGGGGTGTGATGAAAATAAAAGATGAGGGTACTCTGAGAGATGGTGATGGAACAGACATAAAAGGCAGAAGTAGTCTATCTAGGAAGGATGATGACGGGACATGGAAGATGGGAGTGTTCTTTGAGGTGTGGTGATGGAACACGGGGATACTCTGAGAGATGGTGATAGAACATGGGTATTCTATGAGGATGGTGATGAGACACGGGAGATGGACGCATTCTCTAAGGGACGGTGACAGAACATAGAAGATGGAGGTATTCTATGAGAGACAGAGCTCCCAACAACAACATCATGAAGGATGGTGACGGAACTCGGGGTACTCTCTGAGGAATAGTGATAAAACAAAGAAGATGTGATGGTGATGGAGCATGGAGATACTGGATGAGAGATGGAAGATACAAGAGGGGTGCTGTGGGATGAGTGGGGATGGAAAATGGGAACCTTCTTGAGGAACAGGCTGGAAAACTTCCCTGTGTTATCTTTGCAACTTCTCTGTGAATCTAAGATTATTTCCAAGTAATTATTTTTTTACACATATTAACAACTAAGCATAAATTCTTAGACATATCCACCCACCTGGATTTAAAAATTTTATAAGTTGGAAGAATAAAAGTTTCATTTATATATGTAAGTGCGCAGCTATAAGAAGGCATAATGTTTCAGCTAAATGTAACACCAGAAGTTATTTTTGTCTTATTTGAACTTCCAAGAAATATCTCTCTCTCTCCCTCTGTGTGTGTGTGTGTGTGTGTGTGTGTGTGTGTGTGACTAGGGCCATGCATACTTGTCCCTAGACCTTTGTTAGAGGAACTGAGATCAGGAGCTCTCAAAGGATATGCCTGCGTAAGGGATTTTTAAGACATCAGTTACTTTTGATCTCAATTATACTCTTCATTGTAAGCATCTTGTCACTTGCCAAGGACTCTACTCAGAGTCGTGACTGTCGTAGATGGAATTGTGTCTGCCAAATACACGTATATGACACGATGAAGAAGCTCTGACATGACCCCCTGTACTGATAAACCAAATGTTTGTAGAATTAAGGGTGGAATGGGCCACTTTCCAGTCCCATCACAATCCTCCATGGATGTCGGAGGAGGTGCCTCAGGATGTGGCCCGTAAGATCTTTTGTCTCACCAAACATCATTGCTTTGGAATTAGAATCCACTCACAGTTAGCTGGGCTCTGGTGGCCTAGTGTTGAGGAGCAGCACTGCCAACTCAAATGCATAGAGTTCGAATCCACCAGTTGCTTTTGGGGAGAAAAGTGGTCACTCTCCTCACAATTTGCTGCCTCTGAAAACTTGCTAGAGTGTCAGCTATGGGCTGGTTCCAACTCGTTGATACACAATAGCAACAACACAACTGACCCTGCTTTGGGTTTCTGAGGGTGTAAATCCCATCTCACAGGAGGAAATTGTCCATCTTTTCCCTTCAGTGCATCTAATGGATTCAATCAGCTAGATAAGTGAGGCCTGCTACAACTCCCTGTGGACTATTGCACCAGAGATTAGAGGAAGCAAGAGAAATAAAAAAGCAAAATAAATGGAAAGGGGGAAAAAAAATCAAAGGAGAAAACTAAGGGTTAGGGCACACAGGCAGTACTGGTCCCAGTCGAGGAGAGGGAACAGGGGACAGGAGATCTGGTGTTCAAAGGGCTTCCTATCATCTTGGACTTGGGAGGATGCCTCATCCTGGTAGGAGCTCCTGCTGGTCTGTGGGTAGCTGGAGATGGGGCCTTTGATCCTGGGAGAACTTCCTGTCTGCCTAGAAGGATGCTGAGACAGGCAGGGCAGCTGGTGCTGGAAGGGTTCTTACCAGCTTAGAAAGAGGCGGGGCCAGTGCACATGGCCTCTCTGGAGGTTCTGTCTGGTCCAGGCTCAGCAGCCCCTGAAGTAGTTCCTGTTGGCCCAAAGGCTATCCTGGGCAGAGCCCTTGGTTCTGGAAGGAATGGCTGCTGGCTCAGAAGGCAGCTGCTCCTGGCATGGCCCAAGTCTGGCACTAGAAGGGGCAGAGTAGGTGTGTCCCAAACACAGAAGTGGGGCGCATGCAGTGCCTGAATCACGAGGGAGCACTCCTGACTGCGGGCAGGAAGGAGGCCATGTGGCTAGTCTCATAGGCCACCAGATGGGTGGAGGCGGGGATGGTCACTAGGAGGGTGTGAGAGAAAGAGGAAGATGACACTTCCTGGTCATGAGCCACTGTGTGGGGAACGTGCGGTCCTGGGTGAGTGGAGCCAGAATCGAGTGTGGTTTTGCAAAATCTCCAAATGCCCATTGACAATTCATTCTTGTCTCTCCTTGTTTGCCATTTTCATTCATTAGAAAAGTAGTCGATACCATTTATCCACCTCCTGTGCTGGCCTGTTGAATGATTCAGACCAATTACTATTTATTGCAGGTATCAGGGGCACCTCGCCCTCTCATTACTACAAAGTCTTCCTCCCACACCTCTTGCTGGTTCTCTGTGCAGCCAAGTTCTGCCCCGCATGGTCCTGGTCCACATATGGTGTCCTTCTTTCCCAGGCTGGGAGTACAGGAGACCATATGATTAATAAAAGGCTGCCCGTTTCCAGTGCTGGGTGTTGATGTTTAGCCATCTCATAATATTTAGGTTGGATTATCCTTCCTCTGGTAATGAGATCAGTAGTGATGAGAACACAGGCTTCCTGCTTTCAAGGCTAGTTTTCCGTAGGTACCTGACAATTTGTCAGCAAAGCATTCAGTAGCTTGCTGTTGTTGGGTGCCACCAAGTCAGAACCCATCGCTCTAGCAGGCTTTCCGAGGCCGTAAATCTCACGGGAGGAGATTGCTATCTTTATCCTGCAGAGTCCAGTGGCTTGAGAGGCACCACTTTGGGTCAGCAGTGCAATTCTCTATGGCCTAGGCCCCCAGAGCTCCCCTGCGTTATTGTGTTGTTCTGTAGTTGAGTGGGAACACATTCAGTCCCCCAGTGGGTTTTCAGAGGCTATAATCTGCAAAAGAAGAGATTGCCCATCTTCTTCCCTCTGAGCTGCTTGTAGATTTAAACAGCAAGAGGGGTGCGGCATTTGCGTTGGTCCTGCTGCTCCCTATGGACTATGACACCAGAGTTGGTGTATTTAGTACATGAACTGAAAACCAAGTGTCAGCTTGGCTTAATATAGTTCAAACCACAAGTCTGTATTCCATTTAAATCAACCATCATCTGGGCTATGTTTTCCTAGTGATAGTCATCAATCCATGTTTAGGAAAAAAATGCAACTTAAAACCAGATCCTCAAATTTCAATATTCCAAATCACTCAAGCAATGTTTAAAGAAAAACAGAAGCCCAATCTTACTGCTTTCATTCGATTTTAGTGATTGAAGTTGTGTTATTTCTAATAAAGGGTTTTTTATTTTAGTTGTCTTGGAGCATGCATAATATATATGTATCTATTTCATTATTACTCATGTATAGATTAATATAGACTAGATTTGGATGTTAATGCCATTTCTAATCTGTTGGAAATCATTGGTTATACTTTAAGACACACACACACACACACACACACACACACAGTGTCAAGTAGATTGCAACTCCATGGGTTTCTGAGGGTGAGAGGAGACTACCCAACTTGTCTCCAGAGACCAAGTAGTGTACTTGAACTGCTGAACTTTCAGTCTGCAGGCCAGGCAGACACATTACCTGCTACCTAGGGGACACACGTAGTTTGTCGCTAATCTAAAGGTGGGCAGTTTGAGTCCATCCAACAGCAAGGAGGATAAAATGCCTGAGGACCTGCTTCCCATAAACATTACAGCTGTGAAATCCCAGGGAGCGCATTTCCACTGGGTCTAACCCCGGGTCGCCATGACTCAAGAGTCCGGTGTTGGGCAAGTGGTGTTGAATTTTGCGACGTCAGGTCCAATTTCATAACTAGTCTTGCACAGAGCTAGGCAGGCATCATCCCAAGGCGGGCAGGCATCCTGGGGGGCGGGGGGAGGTCGGGCAGGCATCCTCCCCGGGCTGGGCAGGCATCCTTCCTGGGGCGGGCAGGCATCCTCCCCGGGCGGGAAGGCATCATCGGGGGCGGGCCTCCCCGAGGCCAGAGGCTGCGAGGCGCAGGGACAGAAGCAGAGGACCAGCGCCCAGAGCAGCGGCGGCGGCGGCGCCTGCAGGTACCGGGTCCCCGGGGACCGAGGAGGGTGCGGCCGGCCTCCGGGGCGAGGGGCCCGCCGCTGGGGAGAAGGCGAGGGCAGCCGGGGTCAGTGGTCACGAATCCCACCGGGTTCCAGCGAGAACCCAGAAACCCGCAGAGGCCTGAAAGCGCGCTTTGTGCACCCCGCTGCTTCGCGATTCGCCAATTAGAGTGGGCGAGACTATAATTCCGGCTTCGGATTTGCTACTCCGGTGAATGGGCGGGGACTTTCTGATCTTGAGTGGGCGGGATTGGCAGCGAAGCTGGAAAACCTGGCACAGATTCGTCTCGCCTGGAACTGGGGCCTGGGGTGAGCGCGGGACGCACCTGGACCCCTCTGCTCCTGGCTGCTTTGCTCCTTAAGAGTCTTCTTGAATGGACGCTTCCTTATCTAACCTGAATGTCCTTCTCTCTCCTCAGGCCCCCCCCCCCCCCGCCCCCGTCTCTCTTGGCCGCAATCTTATCTCACTTGATCACCCGGTCTCACCTGACTGTCCCCTTGGCTCAGCCGACCACCCCTCTGTATCTCCTTGCCACGCCCTCCCTGTCTTTCTTGGCCGCTCACCTGTCTCACCTGGCCACCCCCCACCCGATCTCACCTGACTAACCCTCTGTCTCACCTGGCAGCCCCCTGTCTCACCTGACACCTATCCCCCCTCCTGGCTGAGCCCTGCGTCCTGCATGACCCAAGGCTCACCCTTTCTCTACGCCCTGTGACCCGGCTCCCAGCCTCTCACCAGTGTCGAATCAGATTCACAGCCGCCCAGCCCAGCCTGTTGCGGTCACGGGTTCAATGGGTGCGCCCACAAATTTCAAATGAGATGTAATGCTGCCCTCATTCCAAACCCGCTCCTCACTTAACTGATGACCATGACGCACCTGAGAATTCAGGGAGCGCCCCAACTCCCTGCACAACCCCTTGTGACCAGCCCCCAGCCTGGCCACTCCCTCTGGATGAAGATGTTTCCCCCACATTTCGGCGGCCCAGGACTATGACGTGGAGTTCTGGTGGCACAGAGAGGGACATGCTTCCTGGCTATCCCAGAGGTGGGCAGTCCGCTCACGTAATGAAGGACAGCCTTCAAAACCGAGGGCGCCTATGAGTCTCACTGAATCCATGGCAGTGGGTATTTTTGATCTATGGTCAGTGGTCATCCAACAGGTTCCCCAGACATGTGCCACCCTAGTGAGCCAGGTTATTTTCCCAAAACTCTTAAAATGTTTAATGCAAACATTTGTTAAAATACCATGCGTGGCTTTCCAGATCATAAAATTGAGTCCAGCCACCTCCACTTGCTGTCAGGGGCTCAGACCATTTCAGGATCCCCAGACCGTGTGACCACAGCATCCTTCTCAGAGGACCACCAAGCCTGGCCTGTTCTTGCGTACTTTCGAGTGAATGTGCCCATAGCTGACCCTCCAGGGAGTTATCAGAGGCAGTTAATCACACGGGACTTATTTAGTCATCTTACTTCAGGGAAGCAGTTGGCAGATTCAAACTGGTTTTGCTGGGAACTGGGAATGAGGACAGTGATTTCTTAGCCTTTTCTACCTTCTAGATTGGACGAGGTGTAAGGAGGGGCCAGTCTTTGAAGAAGGACACCATGCTTAGAAAGATGGAGGGTCAGTAAAAGAGAGGAAGACCAAGGAGGTGGATTGACACAGTGACTGTAACAATGGGCTCAAGTGTCAGAGAACCTGAGGAGGTTGCAGGATTGGGCAGGGTTCAGATCAGGCCGGGTCCATAGGAGACATGCCAGAACCTGACAACAATAGAAGGTCTCAGCCTGTGACCCTGAGTCACGCCAGCCTGTGTTTCCTCGGGCACAGTTCTACTGACCCTTCTCAAAATTTGTAAGTACCTTTGAGCCTGCTCTGAGACCATCCAGCAATTCCAGGATTCCCTCCTCTTCCTAAAGCCTTAATTCAAATGTCCCCATTTAAGGCGCGTCTGCAGAATCCCTTTTGCCTCTTAAGATAACTCTCATTTGGGGCATTAGGGTGTGACCATTTTGGGGGGCCACCAGCCTGCTACCACCACCAATTTCCTGCACAGGATGCTAATGACTCAGTGACCATAAAGGGTCAAGTGCTTCTCTTCTTTGTTCTTGGTCAGATCCCCCTGATGGACCAGCTCTGTGAAGCAAATGGCACCTTTGCCATCAACTTATTGAAAACACTGGGTGATGAGAACAAGTCCCAGAATGTGTTTTTCTCTCCACTGAGCATCTCCTCTGCCCTGGCCATGGTCCTCATGGGGGCAAAAGGGAACACAGCCACCCAGATGTCCCAGGTACGTGAGCCTGTCCCATAGGAAGAGCAGCTTGCTTCTCCTGCCTCTGCAATACGGGCTGTCATCCTGCCTTGTGGTGGCCCCATGTGTCAGACTAGATCTGTGACTCCGTAGTGTTTTCAAAAGCTGCCGTTTCGAAGTAGATTGTCAGTCCTTCTCCTCCCATGTGAAAACAATGTGCATTTCATTTTTAGTTGGTTCACTTTAATGAAATTCACTCATTCATATATGTTCTATTTTATAACAATAACTACAATTGATCAATGCCCCTTTTTTTACAATTTCTAGTCAATCCTTCTTAAGTCCTTTTTTTGGGATGTCTCTGGATGCACTGGAGTCTCCAGCCTTTGTACTAACAGTTGACTGGTGGGGTTTTTTTTGGGGGGGGTGATCACTGCCTGCAGCACATCCAGGGACCCCAGCTGGGGAGACCCCTGCAGTGTTTGCACACACAGTTGGGTTGGGATGGTTACTCTACAGGGGAAAAAAGGAGGGCGATCTCCTCCTGTGTGATTTACTACCGTTGAAAACCTGCTGGAGGGTCAGCTGTGAGTCAGTTCCAGCTCGATGGCAAATAACCAGAAGCAGCTTCATTCTCAGGCTGACTTGGTCGTGAAAACGTCATCTAGGTCTGTCAACATCTAGAAAAGGGTTGATTAAACATTTTCATTTTGTCTTTTTTTTTATTCTTCGGGGCCATAAGGTTTATTCTACCATGCCCCCCTGGCTGGAATAAACCTGCTGGAGCAGATGTCACCGATCACCTGCAGGTGACTGACCCTCGCAGCAGCGTGAGTTGTCAAACTGAAGGTCACGCCTGCCATCTTGTGGCCACCTGCCAGAGTGCAGCAGCACGGACTGCTCAGCACAGGCAGTGCTTTTTAGATGCAATTAAGTCAGTTCTGACTCGAGGATACTGCAGGTGTTACAGAGCAGAACTAGTCCATAGGATTTTTAAAAATATCTGTAGTATTGAGAACTTAAAAATAAAACACCCCTGATTCCTTTGAATTGTGGCCTCAGTGAAGAATAGTGAACATCCCAGGGACTGCCAGATGAAGGAACCCATCTGTCCTGGAGCCAGTGCAACCAGAATGCTCCTTAGAAGCAAGGTTGGCAAGACGTCACCTCATAAACTTTGAACATGCTTGCAGGAGAGACCGCTCACTGGAGAAGGACGTCTTGCTTAGTAAATTAGAGGGTCGAGTAAAAAGTAAAGACCTCCAACAAGATAGATTGATGTAGTGATTTCAACAACGGGCTCAGACATAGCAGAGACAGTGAAGATGACACTGGATTGGGCAGGGTTTAATTTGGTTGTACATAGAGGATCATGAGAACTAACTTGATGGCCCCAAACAACAATAGAAATGATTGTCTTAAGTAAAGCAGATCTTTTAACCATACTACTGTCTGATGTGCTTGAACTGCTTTCAGGTTAGCACTGTACTACAGACTCTTTGGCCACCCAGAGAATGTTCTGTGTACGTGACAAACCCCCTCACGAAGAATAATCTAACCCCCCAATGCCAAGCGTGGTGAAGAGAGTGGGAAAGCCGGTGCTAGACCGTTCAGCCACGTTCCCTATAAGACGGAAGGAACCCTGTGTGATGTTCAGTTCTGAGCTTTTCTTGGCGACAGCTCAGAAGCTGGGTGGAAAGATAGTGTGGACAGTTGGTGGTGGTGTTTTTATTAACAGGCACTTTGCTTGAACAAAGATGAGGCTGTTCACCAAGATTTCCAATCGCTTCTCGCTGCAGTCAACAAGCCCAGCTCCCAGTACACGCTGAGAACTGCCAACAGGCTCTTTGGAGAAAAGACGTGTGATTTTCTGTCAGTAAGTAGTATTCAGTGATGGGAAGGGCATGGGGAATGAGAGGAACATTGCAAAGGAGCCACGAATAGGAGACAAACTGCCCCTGAAGTGTGTGCTTGGAATTATGCTTCTGTTGTTATACTTTTTCAGATTACTTCTGAGTTAGGTCTTTATTTATGAACTTTTTGTTTTGATTAGGGTGAAAGTTTGCAGAGAAGTGTGTTTTCCCTTCAACAGCTCATGCATATTTTTTTCTCTTGAAATTGATTGCAATCGTGCAATATAACAACACACTTCTCACATCATCCTTGTTTTTAATATTTCCATTGGTCCTTCTTTCTTTTCCTACTTTATTTCTGAGCTTTATCTCTGGGAAAATGCTGCCCTTTTGATCTCACATAACTGTTCAATGGCGTGAGTACCTCTGTGGTGTGTCAGCCCATATATGGCTTGGCTGTAAGTTGAGCTGTGGGGGTGAATTCAGGTTCAGATTCCAAAGATGACAAAGGGTCACAGTCTTGGGGATTGCACTTGTCTCCATTGGACCTGTAAGCCACTTGTATTATTTTGTGGTTTGCTCCACATTTTTCTCCCACCTTAACCAGTACCTTGTCTAGTGATCGGTTTCTGAGTGGTTGATTGTGGTAGCCAGGCACCACCTACTTCTTCTGGTCTCAGATTCTTGAGGCTCGAAGTGCAAGGCCCATTAATCCTTTGGATTAATATTCTTTTATTTCCTTCACTCTTTTCTGATAGGGAATGACCAGGCCTTAGGCTGAGCGTTTATCTCCTTTGAAAATGAATTCTTAGTGGTTCTGATAGCCGCTTCTCTGTGGTCCATCTAAACTTGTCCACAGTCCCAGACCAAAGCTTCCTTCTCCCTCTCCTCTCCTAATCGTTCAGTGACCTCAGGGTCCAGCATACTGCACAGGCATCCTAGCATGCCCCACTTCTGCTGGTTCCAACTACATCAAACTCTTAAGGGCTTTTATGTGTAATCCCCTCTTCTGAACTGCTCTTGCCAGGGCTCTGATTTTCACTGTATCGTATACAACCATCAGTTTAATCACTTTCTAACTGGCCTGTTGGAGCCTGGCCTTGCCCTTCCCTCTGTTCTCATAAATCCACACTACATTCTGAACATAGGTATTGTTGTTAATGCTTCTGCATAGTCTTCCTAAAGTAAAATCTGCCTCTTATTACTTCTGCATGCAGCTCAGAGTACCTAGTCTAGGAAAACAGCCCAATATGCAATATGTGAAATCCAAATTAACTCTCCCGTACAATATGCAGGTTGATGGTATTGTGAGATTAATGCTTCTCTTACTGGGTGGGAGTTTTCAGTCTTCTCGAAGACTCAGATATCTCCTGCCTGCCAGTGAATGGTCCACTGGGGGGCTGTCTGCTCTGGGTGTAAAAACTTCAGGGATGATTCAGGATCCTTCAGCTGGTTGGGTCTTCCACTAGTGACTCCAGGAATCTCCTGGCTGATTGATGTTCATTTTTGTATGTCAGTCTGATTTTTACTCCTGTTCTTGGAGAAGACTGGGGGGAATGGGACCACTCTCTATCTTTCTTAGTTCTTCTTCCTTATTTTCTCTTTGAGATCAGGGGGTGGGTGGCCGATGGCAACCAGTTGTCAGGCATGTTATCCTGAAACGAAGGTATGGGTGATGTATCTCTGAATTTGAATGCATTTCTGACTCTGATTTGGTCCCAACTTATGTTTCAACGCATGCTTCATGCCACTGTGTTTTTCCTAAAGCCCTCTCTTCCTGACTCTTTCCCTCTCCTCCTGCTCTGAACTCTAGACCAAAGACCTGCCTGCTTCACGTTCTTCCAGGTTACCATGATGACCCAGATCTAAAATGCTTGTCCCTTTTGGACAACAGGAAAGTTATCACTTTCTTGCTTGACTAATTTTCTTATGCAGCCTTTCTGTCATACACCAGTTATGTTTTAGACACCATCGTAGGTGCTGGTGATTTAAAATAAAAGAGTGAAAGAGAGTTTAAACATATTGTGGCTAAGAGAGAAAACCATAGAACAATGCCTGGTACAGAGTAGGCAGCTTCTCTCTCCCTGCCTCCGCCTCACATCTGCAGAGCTCTCTCTTGGACTTCATTGTTGTTGTTAGTTGAATATATGACTGAGTCTTAAGCCTGTCTAGAAATATGTGAAAAGAACAAAAATCAAAGTGTTTTTCCAAGTTGTGACCACCCTGTGGAACGGGTCCCAACTCAGTGCTTTTCCTTGGAGGCCTTTAAGGAATCCTGTCAGCAGTTCTATGAGGCTGAACTGGAGGAGCTGCCCTTCTCCAAAGATGCAGAAGAATCCCGGAAACACATAAACGACTGGGTCTCGGAGAAGACAGAAGGTGAGGGGATTGACTATGTGCAGACGCGGGGTCACAGGGGAGAGAGGCTGAGGGCGCTGGTGTGTGGCCCGGTCACCAGAGGACTGACTGTGTGTGTTGTTGGTTGTTGATGATTGCCACACTTCCAGGCTCACAACACAGTTCTGTTGTTCCTCTTGGGCGGGTCAGATCACAAAGTGTAAATGGTATTTAAAGCTATTGTTCAAATAGTAGATCTTTCCCCTTCTAGATAGGACAGGGAACCCCCTGAACAATGCTACCCCTTGGGACCCTTCATATCTTAGCTTTGGGAGGCCCTCTTACTGTACTCTGAAGACAGAAGTACATTCAGCTAGAACAGTTCATGTTCTCTCTTGTGGTAATTCGAGTTGCTCTCTTCTTTCATAATAACTCTCTCCATCTATTTTAACTTGGCAATGACTGAGGGGAGTGATCCACTTGGAATTTGCCCCCAACTCTTTGTCTGTGAACTTCCTGTTGAGCCTGTGAGTCCCCTTGTCCATGTCTTCTCACCAGAGACACATTGCTGCTGGCTGTCCACTGGGGTACAGAGACAGGGAGAACACACTTAATCGAGGCCTTCGGATTGTGGTGCTGGAGAAGAGTCCTGAACATACCACAAACTGCCAAAAAAACAAATAAGTTTGTCTTGGTGAGGGTGAAACCAAGTTTCTCCTTGGAGGCTAGGGTTTTGAAACTCTGTTTCACATACTTTGGACACATGGGCAGGAGGGATCCGTCCTTGGAGAAGGACACCACGCTTAGAAGGGTGGAGGGACAGCACAGGAGAGGAAGACCCCGGGTGAGATGGATTGATACAGTGACTGGGACAATGAGGATAGGTGTGTCAGAGGCAGTGAGACTGGTCAGGACAGGGCAGGCTTCAGAGCTGCTGTATATATATAGGGTTGCTATAGGTTGCAGGCGACTCGACGGCACATAACAGCAACAACAACAATAACAACATAGTTAACACGTAATTGTGGGACTTCTGAAAATAATCTACCAAACCAAAACCCCCAATGCTGTTGAGTTGTCTTCCCACCCTCCCTCCCTCCTTTCCTTCCACCCTTCCCCTCCTGTCCATCTGACATACACTAGTACACACCCCAGGATGTTAGAGCTAGGAGCAGCTTTGCGGTCATAGTGTCCCCACTCAGTTGGCAACTCAACTGGGGTCCCTCCATCCCATTTTCCCCAGTTTTACTCCATCATCTGCTTTGGTAGCTTTTAGTTTCTAACCCTCTAATAGCAATAAATGTTTCCATCTCCTCTAAAGGGAAGATTTCCGAGGTGCTGGGTCCTGGGGCCATCGACTCCCTGACGAAGCTAGTCCTCGTGAACGCGATATACTTCAAAGGAGAGTGGAAGGAACAGTTTGACAAAAAATACACAAGAGGAATGCCCTTTCATTGCAACCAGGTGAGACAATATCCAGATATTCTGCTTCTTCCTAAAGTAAAAGAGATGGGAAAGATGCTAAATGGGGGAAATTATAAGACTCACTTGACCTATTTTTGCATGAGTTTCAGGCCCCTGCGTGTGTTTTCTTGAAGAATGGGAAAATTTGTATAGATAATTGCATTTGTATGGATAATTGTGTTTTTTCATGCTTGACAAATTTGCCTTCTATCTCTGGTTATTTGGGTTGAAGTTTCTAACATTCTAGGAATGTGAGTGTGATGCTATCAGGACCTGTGTATGTTTAGACATTTTCTTCATGTTTCAAGGACAACCATGTATGTTTGTTGCTACCCAATTGCAGACTGGGATTTTGAACTGGTTCCAGATTGTTCAGCAGTTGTTATCATAAAGAAGAGCAGCGTATACATTGCATGGCAACCAAGTCTGTTTCCTGGAGTTGTTAGTAAGTGCCATTGAGCCGTAGGCAACTCATAGCGACCCTATGAACGAAAGTCCTCAACATTTGTGTGACTTTCATCCTTTCTCCAGGTTCATAGGGTTTCCTGGAGGCAAGCTATTTACACAAGTGGATGCCACTCCTGCTTCCAAGCTTCTTTTAATCGGGGAGCTCCACCAAACACTTTTCGCCATGGGTAACCAGTAACACATTTGACACATCAGTGTCACAGTATTCAGCTTCATAGCAACAGCAAGTTTCCTCTGTATGACAAGTGGACACACCAGGGCTATACCACCTAGAAGAATGTTTGACCAAAAGCAATGAAAAACAGGCCTGAGGGCCGCAGATTAAAATTCACCCCTTTTTGTCTTGGTAGAATCACTTTCCGTCCATTAGGCCAACCGATATCTCTCTATGTTGATGTTGTTGTATTTAGACCCAAATAGGAAACGATTGTGCCCCAATCAAAAATGGCAGCCTGATCACACTGCTTTGGATATGTGTTCTCTTCAAAGTCTTACAAACAATCCAAACTACCACCTCAGGTTTCTTGAACTTTCAGGATAAAGGGCTGTGGCAAAATTTTTGGAAAGCAACATTATTAGCAGAGATTTAGGGGAAACACACACACACGGTCATAGCAGTGAGTTTAGGTACCATCTTTGAATGGGGCATATTTATATTTCACTCAGGTCCAAACCCCAGCAGTAGACTTGGTTGCTAAATAACACATCCGTGGCCACTGTTTATGACAGTAGTTACTGATCTTTTTTGAGCTCATTTGAAATCTTATTCTAAATACAAGGAGAAAACCGTAATAAACAAACAAAAGACAGCACAAGCAGACATTAAAGCTAACCTGGTGAACACTAACCTGTACACTTATTTTGAATGTGGTGGTGCCCAGGGTTATTAGCTTGAACTTTGACCTCCATGAACCTAATAATAGCACATTTGATTCCAAGTTTAAAAATGGCTAACGTTGCATTTCTTATCAAGGTCCCTTTCCCAAGAGAATGAAAGTCATAAACCCAATTCTAGAATTGGACAATTATACTGGATTAAGAAAACAAAACAAAACATCCATTTGGGTCATCTTTCTAACTAGTCACTTTAGTCCAAGGCCAGAATATTAACGAATCCTTTTTAAATTTAGGGGAATGGTTTTGATTATACACTTCACAGGGTGCTTTTCTGTGTATCTTCTCAAAAGAAAAGAACAAAAATTCCTTCCAAAACTGTAGCAGTGGGCTCAAGTATGTCAGGCAGGATCGGAGAGGGCTCTGGCCTGCGGTTGTAGGATTGAGGGGAGACATACTTGACTATATGGCATTTACTTTGTCCACCCCATCGTCTCTCACTAGATATTTGATCTGCTCAAACAACAGCGTTCTGTACTCAATACACATGCAGGCTAATGAAGACCTTGTGTCCATAACATAAATAAATCCACGGAAGTAGCAATTCTCCGACATTTGTTCCTTAGGGGCTCTCTGAGTTAGCAGGATGTGAACTGGGGTAAAGTGTGCTCAGCTTCTCGCCATCCCCTTTCCACTTGCTGTTGTCATCAGGACAAGAAGACTGTGCAGATGATGTTCAAGAAGGCGGAGTTCCGGCTGGGCTCAGTGGACGAGGTGCACGCCCAGGTCCTGGAGCTCCCCTATGCCGGGGAGGAGATGAGCATGGTCATTCTTCTTCCTGAAGAGGGCATTGATCTCACCCAGGTACGTCCTTGGTGGTGGACCCTGCCTGTCTGCCTCCAGTCATCGGCAGAGAGCATTTGAAGAATCTCCAAAGGGCTTTCGTCTGTATGGACTCAGTACTGCCATTGTGCGGCCCAAGTCAGGCAGGCTTTCGTTGTGTTGTTCATAGCTTTGCTAGGAGATGGAGCTGATGTGAACCCCACCTCACAACCCACCACGTAGCACTGAGCCAATACTGCGGCTTGTCCTATGAATATGTGTACACATCAGGCTGCTAACCCAAAGGTCAGCTGTTTGAGTCCATCAGCTGCTCCTCAAGAGAAAGATGTACAATCTCCTCCCGTAAAGGGTTATAGCCCCATGAATCCCAAGGAGTGTCACTGAGTCAGGACGGAACTGACGCAGGCAGTGACCTTGGCTTTTGGTTTGGTGCATAAATGTCATCTGTTGGTGATACACTCACATGTTTCCTGTGTGTATATGTATCACCAGTTGGTTCAGAAATTTTCTGAATTAAAACCCATTAAAATTAAGTTAGGCATATGATCCTTTCTTAAAATCTCTGCTTGTCCAGGATGATTCCTCATTTACTCTTGTATCCACTAGACAGGAGGAAGATGAGAATTGGGGGACAAGGAAGCTTGGTGTATAGAAGGAGAAAAATAGCTGTAAATTGTGTTAAACTAGCCCTGACCTCTAGTTGAATGTGGCCAGTGCAGAGGGGGTTGCCCATCTGTGGGTGGACAGGTGGGTATTGTCATCTAGATGTTCAGAGTCAAGTCTTGGTTCTTCCAGGTGGAAAAAGAACTTACCTATGATAAGTTCAGGGCTTGGACGAGCCCAGAAAAGATGCCAAGAAGGAAGGTTCAAGTTTTCCTCCCTCGGTTAAAGCTGGAGGAGAGTTATGACTTGGAGTCTTTCCTACGGAGTTTCGGAATGACGGATGCTTTTGAGGAAGTCAAGGCTGACTTTTCTGGGATGTCAACTAAGAAGAAAGTGCCCGTGTCCAAGGTTGCACACAAGTGCTTCGTGGAGGTCAACGAGGAGGGCACGGAGGCAGCTGCGGCCACAGCGGTGGTCAGAAATACCCGGAGCATCAGCCTGGAGCCCAGGTTCTGTGCAGACCACCCCTTCTTGCTGTTCGTCAGGCATCACTGTACTGGCAGCATCCTCTTCTGTGGCAGGGTCTCATCTCCGTGAAGACAAGATGCCAGGCACCAAGCGGGTCACTGGGGTTCAGTGTAGAATAAAGCGTGTGTGCCCAGCCGTTTGTGATGCTTTGTTCTGGGCATGTGGTGGCTGCGGGGTTCAGCCAGCTCCAGAGGTGTGGCCTTTGAGGCGGGAAGCTGAAGGCCGGTGTTGAAGCGCTTTCAGTTCCTGACTTCTCAGTGGTCAAGTCAGGCACAGGCTTCATGCATCTCCTTCCCGATCTTCAGGGAGCGGTTTCACGAGTGTTCACCACACCACACATTCCACTCCTTGGTCTCGCTGCAGTGTCTCCTTCAACCCGCCACATCGTCCTACAGAATCAAAGCTTTTATGCTTGCAGCCCCTTATGGGGACAGGGTACCCCTTAGAGGAGGTAAGGCTTAAAAAACGAATTTAGATTCATTTTTAATCTAAATTGTTGTTGTGAATTGTTTCACATCTTTTACCACATTCTCACGTGAAAATGTTCAATAGTCAGCATTGGAAGCCCGTGTTTACCCTGCTTGTTGGGTCATCTACACTGAGAGCTGGGGGCTTCTCAATAGTTCTTCCTTACTCTACACATTACCTTCCAACCTCTCCATCTAGGTTTATCATTTGTGATTATATTAGCAGCACCTCAAGGTTCATGAACTGGCCCTCCTGTTCCTCTGTCCTGAGCTGTTCTCACAGCAAGCCCACTGCCTGGGCCAGAGCCACCAGGAGGCATCAGCCACAGGTCTTGCCATTAACACAATCAAAGGCCCATAACTCTGGGGACAATGGAGCCACTAGCTTAGAGAAGCAGCTAAGGTGGCGTGCCTAACCTCCTTGGGCGTCACACAGCCAGCCAGTCAAGGCCATGCACCTTGGTCCCTCATGAAAATTCCTCTTCATACCTTCCTTCCTTCTTAGAGGAACTGTTAGAAGTCCAAGACTGGCAGGCAGGGCTCCGAAGCATGCCCTGCTGTACCTGGCACACCCTTCCCACTGAAATGCACACAGGAAGTACAGAAGACCCCTGTCAGCTCCGACCAGCAAGGGCTTTTTGTGAATTAGTCACTCAGATGGGCTCCCGTACATCCCTGGTTCAAGGAACAAGGACCCACCTGCGTCCACTTTTCATTCTATGACTGAATAAGAGAACCTAAGTCATCCCAAATTCCACTACCTATCAGCTGTGAACAGTGATGAGATGATTTCCTCCCTTGACTCTGCCACGCTCGACAGCCCAGCCCAGTCCAGCCTGCCGCTGTCACATGGATTCTGACTCCGTGACCTTCTAGGACACAGCAGAACCCCAGGATTTCCCAGGCTCTGAGCTTTATGGGGCGAGTCTGCCACTTCTTTGTGGATAGGATGATGGATTACAACATCTATAGTTCAAAGTTGACTAGAGCTCTGAGAACACTAGGAAGGCCGTCCCTTGTTACTGTTCACAGTCTTTTGTTGGTGGGAGAAGACACTGTTACAGAATGCCCTGAGCCGTGTCCAGGGGCTGGTTGATTCTCAGCAGGTCTTTGTGCCAAGAGAGGTCCTGTGAAGACTGTGCATTCCTGAGACACTTGGTTGGTGAGAGCACCTGAGCCTTCCAGGAGATAGCCTGGAGTTTGGTCAGCTGGTCTTTGTGAGGAAGGAGCTGGTCTGTTTAGCTCTGTGATGGTGGCCTTGTGGGTCATCTTCGAGACCCCTCCTCTGAGTGCCCTGGCCTCCAGTTCACCTACGGGGGAGGGAGTGATGAGAGGCAGGACTACTTGAGAGTCTCTGTCCTCAGCAGGTATGTGAAGCTCCAAAAGAGTTGACCTGAGTATGAGCTTCCTACTGCTAAAATCCATGTATGGACCCTTCACAGAGATTCCATCAGCTCTGCCAGCCACCCTGGGGGTTTGGGGTCTACCATGAGGGACTGGGGACTGTGGGGAAGACTCGGATTCCATTGTACTCTCCTTGGTAGTTACAGAACCGAATTAACTTTGCTTGTGACATCAAGTTAATAGGTCACCAACATCATTGGATCTTAACTAACAAGCTCTAGGTCACGAACAAGTCGGCTGCCTTTCAGCTCTCCAAGACACAGCAGCAGAAAGAGATAGACAAGCTGGGAAGCACTCTGTAAAGATCTATGAGTCTCATTACTGAACAATGAGGTTTCAAACGAGGAGAGCCAGGAGCCCAGGGAGCACAATGGTTAAAGTACTTGACTGCTAATTGAAAGGTCTACAGTTCAAGCCTACCAGCCCCAGAGAAATGAGGCCTACCACAGCCTTGGAAACTCTACGAGGCCTATCTATTCTGTATTATTACAGGCTCACTATGAGTTCCAAGGGAGCTCTGGTGACTCAGTGGTAGCGAGATGATCTGCTAACCCAAAGGCACACAGTTCGAATCTACCAGCTGTTCCATAGATGGGCAGTCTCTTCCTGTGTGAGTTACCGCCTCTGAAAATGCACTGGAGGGTCAGTGATGGTTTGGTTCCACGTCACTGCTGTAAACAAAAACGAGCGTTAGCATTTACAGCAGTGGGGGCTTTTAAAAGGAGATGGATGGGCTTCCCACGAAGGAACATATATGGCCAGATGCTGCTCGGGAGGGTGGAGGGGTGGTGTGTCACATCAACAGCCTTCCTCCCAGAAGGTTTAAACATTTAACCATTATGCTCCCAGGGCTACAGAGAAGCCCTGCAGTAAGTGCATTCGGTGAAGAGGTGAGGATTATGTACACTTCTTGGACCTTCTGGGTGTGCGTACAGATGACTTCTCTCCACAACACTGGCACCAGGGCCGGAGAGAAATCCATACTGCACCGATTCTTGACTGTAAAGAGGAGAACGGAAGGGAATGAGATGGGTGAGCACAAGAACCACAGCAAAGGGCTTAGACCAGCGACAACTGTGAAGCTGGTTTAGGGCTGGGCGTGTCTGCTCTTTTGTACCTGGGTCATTTGAGGAGCTGAGAATCAACTGAGTGGCTTTGGACCAGGATGACAGGCACTCTACCTTTCCTAAACCACGAGATGACCTTGGCTGTAAGATGCATTCTTTTCTGTGTCTCTTTGAAAAGAAAAACTTTGCCGATTGAATTATTATATACTGTTTCCTTTCACTTGAAGACTCTTTATTATGGGAAGGCAAATTTCATACTAAATATTTGTAATAAATGAATGCTATTTCAGGATGGAATTCACCCTGAGGCACCAAGACAATCCCTAAGCATTTACAGGACTCTTGCATTGTATTTACTGACCCCTCCCTCCTGAGTCAAGCAGGTTTCTATAGAAAGAGCTTATTTCATTTGCATTGAATTATCTTTGTGATTTGCTCCCTGGCAATTTTCAATAAAGACACCGGGAAGCTGGAATCCATCTGGAGCTCTGGTTGTGGAGAACGGTTCACCTCTTGCTTTAGCCCTTTTTACTTATTCGTTCTTGGTGTTCTAACTCATTAGTAACACTCATAAAAATACTTTACCCTTGGTCTGCAACATTCTATCTTATGAATAGGCAAGCATGCTTTTAGATGTATTTTAGATCGTCTTTGCTCATGAAGAGAACAAAAATATTTGCAAAACAAATGACAAAACAGCCCTGGGATAAATTCAGATTATCCTAGTGTGTGAGAGCTGCAGGTAATCTTTGGTGTTCCTGGGTTTACAGATTCAGCCACCTCTATTATCACATCCTTGGCATGTGTTTGCTTCTTCCTCTTTTATGCAACACCACTCTGAAGGAATTAGGGTTACTTAGAAATACCCTCATTACCATAGTGATAAAATTCTCAAAAAAAAAGACAGTTGTTTGCCCAGATAGGTCACATTCTTAGGCATGGGGTTAAGAAGGCAGCTTGCCTTTTTGGGGTATAGTAGAAACCACAACGGCTGGTTTTCCAAACTAACGATCACCAGATCTTTCTTCCAAGATGCCTCTCGGTGGCTTTGAACCAAAGACCATTTGGTTAGCAGTCGAGTTCATGAGCTGTTTGTGCCACTCAGGGACTTTATATTTTGGGGAGACACGTTCAAGTCTTAACAGGGCCTTTCTTTCTTTGGATCCTGTAATATTTTCATTTTGCAGACATCTGTTTCTAGAATGTACCATGCCTTTCTTCACTCTCCATCATTCCGCCCATTATTTTTATGGAATGGACAGCTGTTTCCTCTGATTCTACAACACATCAGACAAACCTCACTGCAAACAGCATGGGTCTATACAATGCCCTTTCTAGCTGCATTCATGAGATGGTGAGGAGGTGGGCTGCAGGCAGGCAGTGAGTTACCGGGCACAGCATAGAATTGATAGAATGAAACATGACAAAGCCCAGGCTCCAGCATCTCATGGACTTGAACTTCTGCCTTGGTTAGGATGACCTCAAGTAACAGTGTAAGGGTGAGAATGCCTCCTACCCTCTGCAAGGTGAGAACAGCAGAGGCTGACAATTCAGAAGTCACTAACCAGTTCTCTGACCTTGAACGAGTCCTACTCAGAGGGAATCTCCTCACTCACCATGAAAGGGTTTGCCCAGTGGATCCTCGGGGCTCCAGGCTCTCACTGTCTCTAATAATTACACAGCACAAGGCTGTCCTGGGCCCTGAGATTTTCATCACTTTGTAAGCTCTTGTCATTTCAAAGTGTCTTTCCTTGTTGGGAATCGGGGCTGCTCTGCGCGCTTGTTCTTTCTGTCCCATTTTCGTTCCTCTCAAGGCTTTGATGACCATTTCCAGTGAGAGCACGGGGAGCACAGCCACATGCTTCCTGTTAAGGCTTGTTTCATCTTCCTCCTTTGTCAATGTAAATGCTGCTATTTGTCATTTCACCATTTTCCTGTGACACTTCACTCATTTGGGTTCTTTGATGTCTCTTCACACTTTGCTCATCTTTCTCCAGGGCAGCTTCTGGGTGCACAAAAAGGGTTAGGGTGTCCTACTTAAGTCTGAATGAGGTCTCCGGCGATGTTGTTCTCCCCTGAACACAGAGGACATCCAATTAAAGCACAAGGGTAAGGCTTGGAAAGACACTGT